AAGGCAGATGCTTAACCAACTGAGCCACCCAGGCGCCCCTAATCTTTGTGTTTTTTAATGGAGAATTTAGTCATTTTACATTTAATACCAAATAGTTTATAAGCCATATTATATGATATTAAATATTTGGGCTTAAATCTCCCTTTATATCCTGTGTTTGCTATTGATCTTACACATATCATGTGTTTTTCTGTTCTTTCTTGCCTTTTTAAGGATGGATAATTTTATCATTTCACTTTTTCCTTGTTCTAAGTAAAATTATAATTCTTTTTCTTATCTTTCAGAAATTACTTCTAGAAATGTCATTAATCATACTTATTAAAGTCTAAAATTAAAAGATGGTTTTACTGTTTCCTTAGACAATGCAAGGACTTTCAAACAGTTAAACTCCATTTCTCTGACTGGTGTGCTATTGTTATATATTATAATTCTATTTGATTTTTAAAGTTCACAAGATGTTTTATACATTTTATATTTACTAAGATTTACCTATAAGTTTCTGTGTACTATTTGTACCTTATATCTCACATTTGGGATTACTTTCCTTATGCTCGAAGTATAATCCTTAGAATTTCATTTAGTGTGTTCCACTGGTACCATACTACTTTGTTCTTGTGTTTGTCTGAAGATGACTCTATTTTGATTCATTCTTGAAAGGTATCTTTTATAGGATATAGGATTTTGGCAGTTTCAATTTTTTTTCTTTTTGAATATTAAAGATATAATTGCACTCTCTTCTGGCTTCTTTTACTAGCTATTGAAAATCATTTGTCAGTGTGTCACTTCCGGGAAGGTAACTTTATTTTCTCTTTGTCTTTGGTTTTCTGAAGTTTCATTATGATATAGGTGTAGAATATAATTTCATTTATGCTGCTTTTGGAACTCCTTTAACTTCTTAAAATTACTGATTGGTGTCTTTCATTAGTTCTGAACAAAAATCTCACTTTTCTACTCAGAGAGCCTCTGTTCCATTCTCTTACTTTTCTCCTAGCATTCCTGTTAAACCTGTGTCCGTCTTTCTGGCTTTATCCTCTATGTTTCTTATCCTTTATGATGTATTTTTCATCTTTTTGTCTGTCTTTAATGCTTTTCTGGATTGCTTTATGAACTATGTTCTATTTCCTTTATTCTCTCTGCAGCTCCATCTGATCTGCTGTTAAACCTATATACCAAGAGTTCTTCATTTCTTTTTTTTTGTTATGTTAATCACCATACATTACATCATTAGTTTTTGATGTAGTGTTCCATGATTCATTGTTTGCATATAACACCCAGTGCTTCATGCAGAACGTGCCCTCTTTGAAACCCATCACCAGGCTAACCCATCCCCCCACCCCCCTCCCCTCTAGAACCCTCAGTTTGTTTTTCAGAGTCCATTGTCTCTCATGGTTCATCTCCC